TTGCTGGACCGAGAAATTTGGGCCATAAAAGTTATAAACAAAATTGGTGACAATGGGCAGCCCTGGCAGAGTACAGCTGCTGCCTCTCAGTGAGCAGGTCCCTGGGTGGAGTTTGTATGTTCTCTCTGTGCATGCGTGTGTTTTCTCCGGGTACTCTGGTTTCCGCTCACAGACCAAAAACATGCATGTTAGGCTGATTGGTAACTCTAAATTGTCCCTAGGTGTGAGTGAGAGAGTGAATCATTGTTTGTCTCTATGTGTCCCTGGGATAGACTTGCGACCCATCCAGGGTGTACCCCACCCCTCGCACAGTGATTGATGGATATGGGCACAGGCGACCCCCGTGACCCAAAATGGAAGAAGCGGGTAAAAGATAATGGATGGATGGAACTTTAAACAATCACTTAAATTAATCACTTTAATATCCACTTTAACGCTAGGAATAAAAAAAAAAAACATGTTTTGTGTTCTAGCTTTAAAACTTATCCAACATTAATAAAACTTAACTCAAGTTGCCTTTTTGGACATGCATGCATAGATTTGTACAAATTGTACTTGAGATGAGATTATTACAGCCTCATATAAAATCAGTAATGATGATGATATCGGAACAGGATCGTTATCGGCCGATATCGAGATTTAGGTATTGAGATTGGATCGAAAGTAAAAAAAAAAAGTGGATCGGTGCATTCCTAAACAGAACATCTCTCAGGTTCAGATCAGAGAGGCTATTCCTCCCAATCACGCCACTCCAGATCCCACTGTCATTACCCATGTGGGCATTGAAGTTCCCCAGCAGAACAAAGGAGTCCCCACCTGGTGCACCTTCCAGCACCCCTGCCAAGGACTCCAAGAAGGCAGAATACTCTGAACTGAGCATGCATCAGGATACTCTGAACTGCTGTTCGGCTCATAGGCACAAACAACAGTCAGATCCCGTCCCCACCCGAAGGTGCAGGTAAGCTACCCTCTCTTTTACCGGGGAAAACACCAACACATAAGCACCAAGTCAAGGGGCTAAGCATAAACCCACACCAGCTCGCGCCTCTCACAATGGGCAACTCCAGATTGGAATAAGGTCCAGCCCCTCTCAAGGAGATTGGTTCCAGTGCCCGTGTTGCACGTCGAGGTGAGCCCAACTTTATCTAGTCGTTAACCTCACGCATGAGCTCATGCTCCTTCTCCACCAGAGAGTTCATGTTCCATGTCCCAAGAGCCAGCTTTGGTTATCCATGGTCAGAGTGCCACAGTCTCCGCCTTCGGCCACTGCTCATGGATTCATGCACCCAACTCATATGACCCCTCCTGCAGGTGGTGGGCCCACAGAAAGGCAAACCCATGGATTATTGAGTATGGACTTTATTGTTGCAAACCCATGTCGCTCATTCGGGCTGAGCCCAACTGGGCCCCATGGGTAGAGACCTTGTCACTAGGCACTCGCTGACGAGCCCCTCCCACAGGCCTGGCTCCAGGGTGGGGCCCCAGTGACCCACGTCCAAGCAAAGGACACTGAGTTCCTTGCTTGTTTCTGTCCATAAGAGTCTTCTGAATCGCTCTTTGTCTGGCCTGTCACCTAGAACCAATCTGCCTTGGGAGACCCTATCAGGGGCAATTAAAATTGCCCCAGACAGCATAGCTTCTAGGATTATTCAGGCACACAAACTCCTTCACTACGATAAGGTGGCAATTCAAGGGTGATTCCCTAGTTTTTCTTATTTCTTCTAATTTCAGAGTAACCTTTTAAAACAAAGTCTAATTGTGGTTTCATCCATGTATCTTGTATACATACTGTTTATCTCAAATTGCCAACAAACTTCTTAAATCTTTGTCCATTTGAAATTAAGCTTCTTGCATTCCATTGAAGTAACTTTAGGATTATTGTGAATATTCAGTTAAAGTCTAAGAGGATTGAGTTAGGTCATCATGTGTGTTTTTTATTGTTTCTCATTGCAGCCCATATATTTTAAAGAAGTTTAGGTGAGCCAATTTGCCCTGTTGGCACGCAGCTGGATATCTCATTGATTGGAAAACTTAATGATGTGTCTATCTCTGCTGCCATCTGTGGATTTTAAGGACGCATATTTAATTGGATTTACGATAACTGGTTCCTGCTTTTTTGGATTCAGCTCGTGCTGGTTTTATCTACAATCAAGGAAGTCGTCAGCAGCAAATTTGGACCCGATCACGCTGCTTGCCTTTATGATGACTTGGTTCGTGTCTCGTGTACCCGGACTCAAATGTCTTGGGCTGAATGGATCAGATCTCGGGGATTTTTACTCAGACACGTTCCATCGGTGTGGCCATGTTATTTTGGACATTTCTGAACCGAGTGGACCAACACAGACTCAAGGTTGATGTCATTAAGTTCTGCCTGTCCCCAAAACAACTGTGTGTTTATCTAAATTTTGGTCGCCTTGGCTGTCCTTGAAGGCCATCTTATCTGAATTCGCCTGGAGAAAATGTGATCTGACGCTCACCATCCCCTCCCTGAGGAATTTCCAACTGATAACCAGATGAACCAGCTGAATAAACTTTGTCATCATTTCAGGACTCTTGGATACTCAGAGGTTGTTCTTGGCCATTCCTCGACATACCTCGAGAATGTTTATGGATCTCACCGGAGGACATTGACTACAGTGACCTCGAGAGCATCTATAAGCGTTGTTGACCGCTCTCGGCTCTGATTGCAGAATGTCTACATAAATATGTGCTTGTTTGTGCAAGGTGTTTTTTCAATATTAGAGGGTTTTTTTCCTCATGCAAGAAAAAAAAGTCTGATAGGAATTTTTTTCGCCTCCAACTCTTACATGTGTCCAGTTAACCACTGTTTTTGTCTGTCCAAACAGGTCTCACTTGTAAATGAGTCTACGAGGCTCAATTTGATTTATCTGTTTAAATAATGGTTGAATGAAAAAAAATATGTTCCCAGCAGATCTAACTATTATCTTTATCCTTTCATTCTGGCCTTTTATTTGAATAGAGCAGTTGATTATTTCTGCCATAAACAGTACAATTTTTTTTAAATCATCAGTCATGGTTTCTTTCTTTACTATATTACATCTGTCACATTTCTTGGGTTCATTGGTTGTAATTTTATTTTGTTCTGTAAATTTTAAGGTGTCTGGAACCTTTTTAATGGCCTCTGCATAACTGATTCCTTTTGTAACCTTGACTCTCTGGATCTCTGCTGCACTTTTACTCACTTCACATCCTCTGTATGCTGAGTTGTGTTTGCCACCACAGTTACAATATTTCAGCTTAGCTCCTTCCTCACATTTACCGTATTCATGTTCTCTGCTACACTTTCCACACCTTTCCTTTCCTTTACAAGCTGCTGTGACGTGTCCAAACCTCTTGACATTTAAAGCATCTCAGAAGTGGGGGAATATACAACCTGACTTCATAACACATGTTGCCATTTTTTTTTCTGGGAGATTATTTTTTTACTCAAAAGTAATTAACAATGATAAGCTTCCATGTTCATTTAGTCTCTGTTGGTTTTCATGCGTTTGACTTCCTTTACTTTAGTGTTAGTAATGTTTGCTTTAAATTCATCTGCTGCACGTTTACTGGGATCCCTGTAACAACTCCCCTGACTAGGATGTCATTAGTTAGAGAACATTGCACTAGTTTACTTTTAATTTTATCCACAAAAAATGCTCTTCCTTTTTGTCCTCCATCTTTACAAAAAATCATCAGGGCCTCATTCCTCAAAACTTTAGCGCTCTTTATTCTCCTATTTCTTTATTCCTTGCTCTTGTGAGCTGTACTGGGTTCCAGCTGCCAAATGTAGCCCCATCTTGAATGAGCTTGATGATTACCTTATGTTCTTCCCTTGTTCTCTTTGCTAACTCTTCTCTGATGCTATTGCTATCATCCGACTTATTATTTAGATTCTTCTTTTGCTTCTTTTTCCAATCCCACTCTTCAAATCTCCCACCACCTATTTCCTTACCGCCTGTTTACTTTCTGATCTATCTCTTCCTTCTGCCATCTCAATTCTCCAGCCATAAGAGCCTCCTTGTTGGGCTACCTCGCCTAGAGTTCTTCCTCCTGCTCCTATCTCTCTCGAATGTCTCGACAGTGTCCGACTCTAAAGAACAGACTTTGATAGATCCCTGTTCTTTAAATAAAACAGGGTGCCCACTCATGCCTGATCGTCATCCCATTGACTGAAAACACCTGACTAATTTCACCTTCAAATTAACTGCTAATCCCAGAGGTTCAAATACTTGTGCCACTCACAAAAATGTAATATTGGATAATTTTCCTCAATTAATAATTGACCAAGTATAATATTTCTGTCTCATTTGTTTAATTGGGTTCTCTTTTTTATCTACTTTCAGGACTTGTGTGAAAATCTGATGATGTTTTAGGTGTCATATTTATGCAGAAATATAGAAAATGCTAAAGGCTTCACAAACATTCAAGCACCACTGTAGTAAACATCTCAGACGTTTGAAATAAGAAATTTTACCCAATTTGGAAGAAAGAAGAAAACTTTTGCAACAACACGTCGTTCATGGTTCCCACTGTTGATCCTCCCCGATTCTATGAACAATAGTCACTTTTACAAAGTATGATGCGCTGCATTAATGCAACAATTGTACAACTTCCATTGTAAACAAAATATGGGTTTATGAATTTTGCAAATCAGGTTTTTGGAATTAAGGTTGTGATACTCAGAAAAATACTGTATGTGAAATTCTAAAACCATCTCTTATCATGTGCCGTTTCATTTAGGTACACATATGGAAAACCTGTCCTTGGTAGCGTAAAAGCAGAGATTTGCAGACCAGCCATCACGTTTTTTTGGTTTCCAGAACATCAAGAAAACAATTTGTGCTTAAGCTATACACTGATGGTATTTTATTTATTTTATTTATTTATTTTTGCTAAGTTGTCACTTTTTGTAATTAATTATCTCTTGGATTAACTGCATATTTTGAAATTCTCTGTCATCTTCTTGTAGACAGATACAAGTGGATGTGTTACAGAAACTGTGAATTTGGACACGTTTTCCCTCAACTCAAACAGGTACTCTGACAGTTTGGAGGTAAATGCTGAGTTGGAGGAATTTGGCACAGGTAGGTTGACAAAGACTTAGATATTTTTATTTTTAATTATTAGCAGCACTGATCAGCTATTATTTGCATATTTACTCCCAACTAGGGGTGACTCTTAAAGGCACAGGTACCGTCAGTATCACCAGTCAGATAAGAACTATCACCTTTGAAGATGTATCTTCATCATACAAGCCTGGCATTCCATATGAAGGAAAGGTAATCTGCATAATGAATGCCTGTTCTGTTTCTGTGAACCTTGGTGGAGGCCATAAAGTTGTCTTCAAGACCAACTAATCTGTATATTAATTAGAATATTTACAGAATTAATAAGGCAGAGTCTATTAGTCAATTTTAGCTCACTAAACCAGCATGGTAAACTAATCTGCTAATTATTCAAAGTAGTTTGACTAATATGGGTTTTCTGTGGATAATGCCAGTGCCAATCTTTAGAAAACAGAGCCACCGATGGCTGACAAACAAGATCCTTTTTTACAGCCAGTATGAATTTGTCTTTTTTTTTTTACTTCAATGGAATCATCTCCATTTTCTTTTTAGATTTGTCATCCGGCTTTTATAATGAAGCAGCACAATTTGAGTTATGAGAATTGAGCAGCTTGTTGTTTATACATTAGAAGTTTACATTTACTTCCTGTTTTGCAGATCAAAGTGGTTGGTCCAGACAACAAACCTATTTCCAATCAGGTGGTCTACTTGTTTGTTGAAGACTCTAAGAATCTCACAGTCACCACAGACCTGAAAGGCATTGTTGTGTTTTCTCTTGGCACCACCTTCTGGAAGGACTCTGTGTCTCTGCGGGTTAGTTGGAGTGTGTGGTAGTTCTTTGTTTGCAGACACATTTCAGGAAAATCTGCTAATGATTGGCCATTGGACCCAGGTAGTTTCCATGGTTTCCTTGTGCACCAACCAATTGGAATCGTGCTTTGCTTTGTCTGGGATCAGATTTTAGATCAGCTAAGCTTAAACCTCATATACTTGGGGCATAGTCTTTCTACTCTGTCTGTGTATCACTATAGATGAGTGAATATGGTTATTAAATGTTGCTCGGTATATGTGGTCTGTTTTATTTAACTGTCAATCTGCAGAACCTTCTTGGTTCTACAGATGACAAAATTGACATCAAATGAGCCTCTAAGTTTGGTGGACATGGAAACACAAAGATATTTAACACGTGGAACTATGTCCAGTGGCCTTTATTCTAATCAAACAAATTTTGATGGTTTATGGTTGCGAATTAGAGCTTAATATCAGAGAGACTTGGTGTTTGACCTAATTTTTTTAACAGGCTTCAACTAGAGAAACAACGGAAACGGAACCTTTTGTGCCCAACTTCAAAAGACCAGACTATGGGACTGTCTACAAGAATGTGTCCCCTTTTTACTCCAAGAGCAATAATTTTTTGGAGCTCAAGCGGGTTGACGGGGGGTTACATTGTGACAAAAACGCTACTTTGAAAGTTCAGTACATCATCCAGAAGAACGCGCTGATTGATAAACAGACGACGCTCAACTTCTTTTACCTGGTATGTGTTTTTTTTTTTTTTTTTACCATAGGTTTATATCAGTTTTCACACTTCTAATAATTAGAGAAGGTGATCTGATTCCATCTCTTTGTTTTCATACTTTTGACTTCTTTTACTTTAGCATTAGTAATGTTTGCTTTGGCCTCTAAATGTTTTTAGCGCAGAAAAAAAAATCAAGCTTTATATTTCACTTGGTCTCTGAAATATTTTTTTGTTGTTATAATTGTGTAAAACAACAAGTTGAATTGTAAATTTGTTCATGCATCATTAAAAAGATTTGCTTGTAATGCCTGATTTTGTAGGTGCTGTCCAAAGGAGTGATTGTGCGTCATGATCGTGTCCCAGTGGCTCTCACAGCAGGAGATGGTACGGAACTAAAGTTTGTTATTTAGAATGATGAAGGAAAAACTTAAGTCAAGGACAGAAATAAACAAGGAGCTCAGTGTCCCTTGCCTGGACATGGGTTACTGGGGCCCCACACGGTCACCAGGCCTGGAGGAGGGGCTGGTCAGCAAGTGTCTGGTGACCGGGTCTCTACACATGGGACCCAGGCAGGCTCAGCCCTAGTAACATGGGTTTGCATTCCTGTGGGTCCAACACCTGCAGGAGGGGCTATGTGGTCCACCTTCAGGCACTCCCCAGCATTGTCAGTGTCTGGAGACCTGCTCAAAGTTCAGTTCAAGTTCATGTAACACTTTACAATAAGGTACACAAAAATTGATTAACTACTAGGGAATGCCTCAGGAACGAATCAGGAACAAATCTAATGGGTAGTTACTGGTGAACACACAGCCAAGCCTTATTAGGGGACTACTGATTAGGTACTTTGTAAATGAAGAGGAACTAATCAGAGAGTCAGAGTCAGAGTCAGAGATTCTTTATTTGTCATGCTCAATAATCCAGGTATAAAATCCAATATTTTTCAGTCAGGTCATCTGGACAGTTTCAGTTTTTGTGCTGAAACATTTCGCCTTTGATCCGGAAGGCTTCATCAGTCAAGGAAACACACAACAAAAGTGATTCTTCCTCTAACAGCTTACTCCAAAGTGGAACAAACCAGTTCTGCTTGTGATTATATGGTCTCTTTGGTACGCCCCTCTTCCGTAGCCGGACCTCTTCCTTGTTGACACTGTCCAGATGACCTGACTGAAAAACGTTGGATTTTATACCTGGATTATTGACCATGGACTTTGTTGTTTTCAACCAGTTTGACAAGACTGTCAACAAGGAAGAGGGCC